CTTGGCACATACATGAACACTGTGATTCAGCCACTTTCTTTACAAAAAACTTCTCACACAGGTGTGTAGGGGGTGCGTATGAGCATGCTCATCATGGCACTGTTTGTAGGTGTGGAGTAGGAGGCCGTCAGGTGTCTGAAACTGGGGAATGGATGGTAAAAATTGGTGGTGCACAAGAATGTGGTAGTTAAAAGGGACAGATTACGGTTCCAGAGTAACATGGATGAATCTTAAAAGTACAGCACTAAGTGAAAAGTAAACTATTTAACATAAACTCATTTAAGAAAATTGTAAAAAAGCACAAAATAAAGAATTTTACGAGAACACATATAACTAAAAGGACATGCTTTAAACAGTTTATTGGTGTTGTCTATGGGGCGGAGGAGAAACAGAATGAATTCGGTCAAAGGTAATAAGCAAATAAGAGAGTAGCCTTCATAGCCCAGTGATGGCTTGTGCCAGGAGCTGAGCAGTGTGTTCACCTTAACCTTGTAGACTTGTTGTAATAGAAGAAACAAACACACAAACAGATTCATAATAGTGCCTGGCACACAGTAAGTAGTTTATTAGTTTATTCCAAACTCTTCTCTTAGTTGCTCCCATAACTATAGGGCTACAATAGTTACGCTATGTGGACAGAATATTTTATGACAACAGTGTGACACAAATTTAAAAAATAATTTACATTTACTTGTAAATCTGAAATCTGAAATTACATTCCAGAATCTGACTCTGCCAGTGAACTCTGTTTACTAAAATGCAGAGTATAGTATGAAGCGCGACTGGCTTGGACATACCTCATTATCGGACATGCTTTCATTATTAAAGTAACTAAGCAAAGAGCTTGCAAGGACACTGTTACTATTACACATGTTAAGAGAGCTGTATTACAGTTAACCTGAAGGACAGTATCTTGTTAAAGGCACATAGTAATCTTTTAGTGAAATAAGATGAACAAAATCCTTCTATCTTTAAAAAACTGTCAAGAGCAAAGAAAAGTATGATCCAAGCTTGGAACAGTGTAACTGCTGGGTCCTATTTATTGCTGGGCGGTCTGACAAATGCATGCACAGCACCTATCCTTAATGGTTACTTTAGGGCAATCAGTTTTGATTATAGGGATATGATCATCATTGTTAACATATAAATGTCATGAGACACTATTTTGGAAGTCCACGAGCATCATATTTCCTTTAAGTCCCTTTCTGCCTGATAGTAGATGAGCCATGTACTCTCTTCATTCCTCCAGTTCTGAGAGCTTCACCCTTGGCTCTGTTTGAAAATCAGGGCACAAAGCACTATGTGTCAGTAAGAAGCATGACATAAATGCCTAAATCAGTATTGAACAAGGTTACAAACCAGAGAACACATTTGTAGTGAGCTCAGCTCAGATATGTACTGGGTGAAAACAAGATGAGTTAGTGACTACGATAAATATATACAGGTGGGGATAAATACTGGTCATCTGTCATATGTCCTAGAGAATATAGAACTAGACTAGGATTCTAAAAGAGGGCATAGCTGTAATCTAGAAGAGCAGAGAGAGGTAAAAGAACAAAATATTTCCAGATCCCTGGGGAACTAAATAAAGGAGAAAAATGTAGCTATGCTTAGACAAGTGTGAATGTGGGGAAAATTGGCCTTAGTGGACAAGGTGTGTAAAAAAAAATCTGAAGTGAGTTGGGATGCTCACAGAAACTTTATTAAAATGGCTTAAACAAGAAGGAAAAATGACCATCTAAGATGACAAGAAATCCCAAGGTAGGGCAGATCCAGGGTCAGTTCATCCGTCCGCTTGATGGTGTATTCTCAAGGACCCAAGTTCTTTTCCTCTTTCCTCCCTGACATCCTTTTAGTCTGGCTACCTCATGGTCACAAAATAGCTGCTGCAGTAGTTGTCACAAGCAGATGACACAGCTCTAAGAGGAAGAGGGCTGGTTTCCTGCTGTGGATCTCTCCCCTCCCCTGATAAGGGAAGCCTTTTCCAGTAGTCCACCAACAACTTCTCCTATGTTACAGACAAGAATTGTGGCACCTTCTGGTTCCTAAACCATTCTCTGACATGGAATAAAGAATTGCTTCAATTGGCTTAGACCCATCAAGGCTTGCTCCTGGGGGCTGAGAAGGACAGGCAGCCAACAACTTGGCTGTCCTCAGCCTTTTCTGAAGTGCATGCTCACATAAAATCTGCACCAAAGCAGGTTCTCTTACCACAGAATAAGGGAATGGAAGGAAAGGGCTGACGGAGAGGCAGCCAAAATCTTTGTTTTCAATATGCTGTCTGGGGAGAATTTGTGGCTATCTGAAAAGAGAAAAAATATGTTCAGTGGCGTGATCATGAGAGAGAATCCCAATGGTGACCTATAGAGCAATCTGAGAGTGAGAGGGAGAGAGACCATTGAGAAGAGAATCAGACAAAATCAGTTGAAAGAGAGAGAGAAAGAGAGAGAGCAATTACTTGATTATCATGAAGATGATATAAACCTCTGTCTATGTGCATGGAGACCTGACTTCGTCATGGATTCTCCGGGGTTTTCTCTGGTTTCTCCTCAATGGCATATACAAGTCTTCCAAAGACACAGTCCTCCCATCTCCAGCCCTACTGACCACCACTTTTGGCCTCCTATTTGATGCTTGTGATATAAAATTTCTCTTTTGGGTGCTTGAGTCTCTGCTAATGCTTTTCCTCCTGTCAGGAATGCTCTTTCTACGTGTATATGCCTGGATGACTCTTATTTCATTCTTCAAGAAGCCGCAGGGATACTCTCTCCTCCAGGAAGTCTCCCTATAACTCTCGGGGTGGCTCTGTGTCTCTCCTCTGCTCTTTGCAGTGTTCTGTGCACATCTGCATCTCATAGTACTTATCAGATTGAAACTCCCTCCTTTATTTCTTCCTTACACAGATGTTTATTGAGTGGCTACTCTATGGCCAGGGCTGGTCTAGGTGCTGCAATAAAGCATAAAAACAAACAAACAAAAAGTCCTTGCTCTAAAGGAGATAGAACTCCAATATTTAAGGGGGATCAGACAACATACATATGCAGTAAGTCAGGTGCTGATAAGAAAAATGAACTGGGTAATGGTATAAAGGGATATAGGCTGATATTTCAAGTAGAATGGTCAGAGAAAGCCCTACTGAAGAGATGTTACCTGAACAGAGAGATGAATGAACTGCTAGAGTGAGCCATTTGAATATTTTTGGGAGGAGCATCCCAGAAGACGGATAGAAAGTGCAAAGGCTCTGAGGTGGAATGTACTCGGCAGGTTCAAGGAGTGCAAGGAGGTGACACGGCCAAAGCATGGTGAGCTGGTGGGATGTGAGAGAAGGTGGGGCCAGATCACAGAGGGCCTTGTTGGTCACAGTGAGGACTTTGGCTTCTTCTCTGAGAGGAAGGGAATCCACTGGAGTTTTTGAGCAGAAGAGTAAATAACTAACTGATATTGAAAAAATATCCCTCTAGCTTCTCTAGAAAATATCATGGAAGAGGATAAAGATTAAAGTAGAAAGTCAAATGGGGAGATGACGCTGATGATTCTGGAGAGAGAGGATGATAGCTTTGACCAAGGTGGCAAAACTGAGAAGGGTGAGAAATGGACAGACAGTGAATATTTCTCAAGATAGAGAAGACAGGATTTTCAGTTAGCCCGAATGTGTATGTGAATGAAGAAATATTTAAGGATGATTCCAAGGTTGTTAGCCCAAGAGAATGGAAGAATGGAATTTCTATTTACAGTGGTGAAGAGGGCTGAAGGGGAGCAGGCTGGAGAGAGAAGTTTGGAAACCAAGAGAGTTTTTGGACATGTTAAGTTTGAGATATTACTGGATATCCATGCGGAGATGTTGAATAGGCAGTTGGGCATACAGGTCTGGAATTCAGGGTCGGTGTAAACTCAGGTGCTAACAGCATATCAGTGACATTAAAGGCATGAGATTGGATGAGATCACCTGGAGTATGAGTGTAAATAGAGAAGAGGTCAATATCTGAATCCTGATGTTTTATGATGTACAGAGTTTGAAAGTTGTGAAGGATGCCGCAAAAGAGACTGAGAAGGAGTGGCCAAAGAGGTAGTCTGTGAACCAAGAGAGAATGGTGACCTGAAAGTTAAAGGAAGGAAGTGCTGGTGGTGATGAGGTTCTGAAGAATGAAGGCTCCCTGAGGGCAGAAACTATCTTTTTAAAGTTGTTTTTATGTCTACAGCTCCTATAGTTAGTGGTGTTCAACAAATGTTCGTTGAATAGAACCAACTTTTCCTTCCTGACACGCTCTTGTATTAAGATAATACATATTCCAGCACTATCTTTTCCTCTGTCAAATTCTTCTCTTCCATTCCTCAGTTTTTACTGACATCATGGCTATGACCCCAAAACTGAGGGCGTTGACCCTCTTGTTACGGGAGTGACCTACTTTTTAGTACTGTCTTACTTTCATTGAGGGGTACAGGGAAAGAATTCTAACTAAGGAGATAAAAATGTGCAGAATTTTTTGCCCATGTTTGTTTTATCAAACTTGTTTGTGCAAGAGTGACTAGGATGAAGGTGCTCTCCTCCTGTGAAGCTATGAAGGTGGACAATCTAGTTGAAAATTATCTTACTTGACTGAACTTGTAGCTCAGGCAAGTAAGATATTTTTGGCACTAATTGCAGAATGAGGAGTGTCTTAAAGCATAGAAATTAAGAGCACAAAGATCAAATTCCTTCTGCTCTTTTGCTCTGGAATAATTGCAGATCATTTTAAACTGCATTATTAATACTGAGATAGCTTTGAACTATTGGTTGAAAGGAACAGTAAATCCCCTATTCATCAGAATCTAAAACTACTGTGAATTCTTCCCTTTAGAATTTACTAATTTCTCAGGAACTGTGATAAGGACATGTAATTTTTCATAAAGCAGTATTCTCAGACACTTAAATTCATAAAATGTAATAAGTGAACACTAGATATGATCTGTACCTTCAAGTGATCTTCTGAGATTTTTTTCCCTTCTGTTCTCAGGCAGTGCTTGGCATAAAAATGGGTTCCCTCAGCACAGCAAACGTTGAATTCTGCCTTGATGTGTTCAAAGAGCTGAACAGTAACAATGTAGGAGATAATATCTTCTTTTCCCCACTGAGTCTGCTTTACGCTCTCAGCATGGTCCTCCTTGGTGCCAGAGGAAACAGTGCAGAACAAGTGGAAAAGGTATGGAATACAGTGGAGATTCCCCAGAGCCCAGAAGTCATTCATGCACTTCCTCTGGGTTGGCCAAATTACTTCCATTTTTATATCAATAAAACTCTGCCATCTTATGAAAGAAAAAACACATTTGAGCAAATTGTATTTCTTAAAAATGGAAAATGGCATAAATAATGCAAATGTAATAATTAAAATGTAATGCAATACATGAAATACATAGTCTCTTCCTTACTCTCAGTGGTATCACAAATAAATCTCTGCAGTTTACTTTTATAATTCCTCCTTTCAGTGATTTAAATGTGATAGACACACACATATGGTACTATCCTTGCCTTTCAGAAGCTTATACTTACAGTAAAACTTAATGACATTTCAAAAGTTACCAAGTTCTTAAAAAAGAAATTCATTATTACATTTGAATCCCTATGTAGCAGGTAGAGATTGTTATCCCCATTTCACAGATGGGAAAACTGAGGCTCAGAGAGAAAAGGTGATTTTTCAGGTTACATAGGCTAACATAGGTGATTTTTCCATTATATATATTTTTATTGTTGTGAAAAAGACTAGAAGAATACCATTAGTAACTCTTATGGTGCTTGCACATTTTTTTTACTGATTGTGCTGGGAAACCATGTAATGTCTTGTATGGCCCCAGATGAACACTGTCCCAGTTAATGGCTAAGAACAGAAGGAGAGGAGCAGAAGAGCCTAGTGGCTAAGAACTCGGCTCCTGGAGCCTGACAGACAATGGTCTGGGCAAGCTGCTTGATCTCTCTTGACCTCAATTTCCCTAACATACAACGGGGATAATAATAGCTATTCATAAAGCAGTTGGGAGGGTTGCATAAAATATGTAAGGACTTAGTTCAGGACATGGGACATAACTATTAAATATTAGCTATCAGTATTGGTCTTGATCTAAAATGAAAAAATAGATACAACTGTTAACCTTTAGAGACAGTACATTGCTTTTGATGCCAATTGACCCCCTTTTTTTCTTTTCTAGGTGCTTCATTTTAGTAATATTGTAGAATCAGTAAAGCCAGAGTTTAAGGACTCATCTAAGGTATGATAATATCATCTGAGCTGTCAAATGCTCGTTAATATAAGGGGTTGAGTAGCAGAGTCCCCGCTCTGGCGCATAAGTAAGCTAGCTATGTCTCCCTTGGTCTCCTCCTTCAATCTCCCTGATAACCACTAGAGCCTATAGAATTTAACACAACGATAATAACAACAACAAAAATAAAGTCCTGCAGACTTTATTACCTGATTTATTGTCATCCTTACTCAAACTTTTCTGTTCTTTTATGAACTGTGCCCGCTGTGAGTATGTCAGCTTCATCTATGCAGTGTTAGAATTTTTCAGTTTACTGAGGGGACTGAGAGAGGACCCTGAAGCTTTGCCATATAATTATATACTGGGTCTGGTGTTGCCCAACCCACATGCTCTGGGACTGTGGTCCTTAGTTTTTTCCAGAAGGATGTATTTTGACCTCAAAGTTATATGGAACTCCCACATGAAAATAGTTGTGTTCGATTATGATTGGGAAATACATAAATATGTATAGATTCACAGAACACTTGTTTTACAAAACCCAACTTATTAGGAGATTGAAGCTCTTAGTTTGGGAACTATTGCTTTAGGTAATGTAGGCATAATCCCCACAGTGTCCATGAACTCTTAGCCATCTTTCAAATGCATCTGAGCTGCATGCTTAGCAGGATTGCTACCACGGTGGGACAGATGAGTATGTAAGGTCAGTTCAGTGAAGGTCTGAAGTGTTTGATTAAATGGCCACATAGAAAACTGAGACATTGAAAAAAGTGTAACGGAGAAGAGGAATTATTCTATAAGTACAAAGATAGCAACAAAACTTGTATTATTGCCCTAAATACCCCACTAGGACCTCTTTATTTACAAAAACTCTTGTATTTAAATTAAATCATTAGGGCCAACAAATGCAAATGTGTTTTGCAGTAGCTTACAATTCTGCATACAGTCTGCAACCAAAGTCACAGAGTGATGAGATTATTGTACTAGAGGAAATCTAGGGAAGAAAAATGCTTTAAACTCTTGAACTCCTTGTATTCACTGCCCTTTTATTCAGAAGCAAACAGCTTGCTGTCTAGATATTGTTTTCACATTATTTATAACTCTTCAATGGCAAGCAATCAAGTAATTTAATACTCCATTCTTTGCTTACTGACCCTTCAGTGCAGCCAAGCTGGAAGAATTCATTCAGATTTTGGAGTCCTATTCTCTCAAATCAACCAGGCAGACTCTAACTATACCCTCAGCATTGCCAACAGACTGTATGGCACAAAGACAATGGCATTCCATCAGGTAAGTCCATCTGGAATGGTGATCAACAGCTTTCCTGGCACCCTCTGAATTTTTTCATACCACAAAATCAATGAAAAGTAAAAAGATTCACATGGCACTTTACCTTTAAGAGATTGAATTTGAGCTGACTTAGAGTTACAATGAAATGGTTTTACAAAAACTCCCATTTAAAGTTATAAAATATAGCATAAAAATGTTACTTCTGCAAAACTCCTAAAACTGTCAAAGAACCAAGATCAGGGATGAAGTACAAAACAAACTAGGTATGAAATACCTTTATGGACCAGAAGAAATATAAAATACAGTTTTCATATCTTCTTCAAAGATCCTTAATGGCAGAATGTCAAGAGGTAGTTGAAAGTACACTGGATTGGGAGCTGGGAGACTTGAGTTTTGTTCCCATTTAGACATATGAGTTTGGGCAAGTCACTTCTCCTATCTTTAAAATTAGAGGATTAGACTAATTTCTTCCTAGCTCCCAAATTCTAACACTATGTCTGCCCTTTTCCAACAGCATTGCAATATGTAGTTTTATTGAGAGTTTACTATGTGCCAATCTCTCTACTTAGTACATTACAGGCATTATCTCATATCATCCTTACTTTGAACTAAGATATCAGTGTAAAACTGCCATTAATTCTACAGACTGTGAAGCAGATCCTGCCAAGTCACAGAGATAATTAAATGGCAAACCTGGATTTGACCCCCATCCAAATCCATCCTCTTGTTTTAAATTTCTACATCATCCTGCTGTGATAGAGGTGAAACGCTAGCTTCAGTGATAGAGCTTTTGCTTGACTAGTGTTATTTAAATGCCAGTTGGGTGAAGTGGGATAAAGCCCTGAATTTCTACTGTTCTTCTCCAGGTTGATAGCCCAGCCTATGTCTCAGATGTGAAAAACTTCTGAGAGTCAAAATTTTTGCAACTTGGAGTGGGTATCCTACCTTGGTACTTTAGACATTTTGGGGGTATTTTCTTCTACTGTTCTATGGAGCACAAAGAATGTTTTAGGGAGAGTGCTTGGAGTGGTGGGGCTTAACAATCATGATTCTTTGAGATAGAATGTTCTCTTTCACCTCTTTGCTTTCCTGAAACAGTGACCCAGACATAATAGTAGATAAATGTTGGTTTAGGCTGATGATGATGATGACAATTGCATGCATTCCTGAAGTGACAGATTTCTCATTAGTATCATGAAGATTGTTGGGAACTGTGTTATGAGATGGGCCTTATTATCTTAGGATTCTGGCTGGAAAAATTCCCATCTCATGGGGTATGAGGAGTTATTTAAAGATGTTTCATGGGGCCAGCCCAGTGGCGCACTGCTACAGTGCGCCGCTTGGGAGCGCGGCGGCGCTCCCGCCGAGGGTTCGGATCCCACATACAGACTGGCCGCTCACTGGCTGAGCGAGGTGCGGGCGCAAAGCCAAGGGTTGCGATCCCGTTGCCGGTCCCGGTCCGGTACGGGCGCGACACTGAGGGTTGCGATCCGTTGCCGGTCACAAAAAAAGACGAAAAGGGAAAAAAAAAAAAAAAAAAAAAGATGTTTCAGTCAATTAGACTGAACTCAGGACAGGAATCATCCTGAGGCCCAGTTTTTGCTCTTAGTTTAGTTTTGCTTTTCTTTTTCACCACATCTAGGCACAAAGGAACTCAGTTAGGCAAATGGAAGACCAAACTCCAGGCAGCCACTTTCAGACCTACTATACTTCTAAGTCTTACACCATTCTATTCGGTTCATGGTGGGGCACTGGGCCTTGCTGGCCTATGGAGGTATACCCCCAAGTTCTCAGAATGGAATTGTTGCTTTGTGTTGCTTCATCCCTCACAGATTTGTCACCCCACTTCCGCTGGGTGATGGAGCCGCAAAGGATTACTCAAAGCCCATCACTTCTGAGCAGTGAGAAGCCCTGAAGTGGTTAACTTCCCTGGGACCCTCCAGCGAGAGGAAACCCTTCCTTGGGAAATTAACCCTGATTGGGGGTTCTCTTCCTGCATTTATTTTCCAGACCAGGAAGTTACAGGAAGAGAACTTAGGTGGGGTTATAGTTTAACAATATAGGCTGGTAACTTTCAGTGAAACAAGCCAGATGACATTCCAGTGAGGCTATCAACAAAAGCTTGGTCTTAGCAAACATTCCTTCATACAGCAATTTCTCAATATCTTTACATAACAATCAGTAACTAGTTTGTCCTTGAGCCAGCAACCTTGCTGTGCCACAAATCTTTGTCTTACACCAGAGACTTATAGCCTGAGGAAAATTTCCAGTCCTCCTCAAGGTCAATATTTGAAACTGCAAGGCTTTGGAAAATCAGGCCCTGTGAAGTACATATGCTTTATAGTATATTCCACATGGAATCATGGACAATTTCATTTGGGTCCATGTAGATTTGCCTGCTCCTTTTGCAGTGAGGCAGAGGAAAAGTTCCATGTTCTAGGAATCAAGGGTCATGGGTAGTAATCAATGGTGGCTTCAGAATGCTACATAAGACGGACTTATAAGTGGAAATTTAGTTAAAAGAGGGGGCTAGGTTTTTTATACTGAGTTTGCAGAGCAAATGTGAATTTTTGCCTGAATAATATGTTATAGGTGAACAACAGTAAATTTTTAAAGATATTTTTGTTCACACTTGACATAAATTTGAAAATAAAAGTCAATTGTCTATGCTGGAGAATATTATTGTTAGTTTTATTTGTGGTGGCTTGTGGAGAGGTTGATATATACAATGGGAAGAACTTCTGTTGGACTTCAGAAAAGCGAGTCACTTAACCACTCTGGTTCTTAGTTTTCCTGTCTGTAACATCAGAGTGGTAACTCCCATTTGCCTGCAAAGAATAGGGATAGAGCAAAAAGGTACTCACCATAATGCAACTTGCCATTTTGCTTTCAATGTTGTAGAACTAAGAAAGCCAATAATATGACAGAAATAACAATTAAATAATTCTGAACATTCCTTTTGGAAAGGTTTTGGGTTTTGTTAAATTTATTTGTTTCATTAAAAGTAAGTATGTATGAATTTTGCTTCCTTTCAGACTTGGATATATGATCTGTTTTTGTCTGTATGTTAGGATTTTAGAATACATCGAGCTGCAGGTTTTTGTTTTCTTTTGCTATTTTCTTGTTGCTGTTCAATTGTCCTTTCTTTTATAGCAATATTTAAGCTGTTCTGAGAAATTGTATCAAGCCAGGTTGCAAACAGTTGATTTTGAACAGTCTACAGAAGAAACGAGGAAAACTATTAATGCTTGGGTTGAAAGTAAAACTAATGGTAAGGATAAGTCACATATGTCTCTTCAAACTTTATCTGTGTTGTGTTGATAAACTTCCTGAATCAACATGCTAGAGAGGAAGCTGGGTAATTCTAGACCCTGACAAAGGCAGATTAACAATGAAGGAAATGAGGCCATATTTGGAAAAGTCCTTACAAGTGTTTGTCCTAAATGATCTATGTCAGGTGACTCTGGGAATAAACCCCATTTCTACTTCATGAAAGTGTTGTTGTACATTCTGCAATTAAATTTAATTAAATTTAAATTTACCTTTCATAATTAAAAAAAATCCAACATGTTGTTAAAAATTAATTTTCTTAAATGGCATATTAATTTGAAAGTGTTGTTGTACATTCTGCAATTAAATTTAATTAAATTTAAATTTACCTTTCATAATTTAAAAAAATCCAACATGTTGTTAAAAATTAATTTTCTTAAATGGCATATTAATTTTTTGATACCAAAGATATATTCATTTCTTTATTCAAAAACATTTAGTTACAAAGTTACGAATGTACAAAAGTAGAGAGAATAAAAAATGAACCCTTATTTACCCACTACCCAGTTGCAACATTGGTCACTAACACCTATGTATTATTCACCTATGTCCTTGCCCTTTGACCACCACCTATTCCAGATTATTTTGGAGCTAATCTCAGATATCACATCATTTTTTCCTATACATATTTTAGTTTGTTTCTCACAAAAATATAGGCTATTTTAATATGACCGCTATACTATCACATTTAGAAAATTAAAAATAATCATTTAAAACTAACAAATTCTCAGTAAGTTTTTATATTTCCCCAGTTGCCTCTCTTTTTGTTTGAATCAGGACCCAAATAACACTTATACATTGCATTTGGTCAATACATTCCTTAAATCTTGATTTTTAATATAAATTTTTGGATCAAAACATACATACTTACAGAAAAGTAAATTATTGTATGTATGCTGTTTGGTGAATTGTCACAAAGTGAATATACCCATATACCACCATCCAAGTCAGGAAAATAAAGCATTAGTTACTAGGAAGGGGCACTGCAAGGCCACCCTCATGTCTGCTTCTAGAAACTTAACTCCCTTTCTCCCAAGTGTTAGGGCTACTCTGACTTCTATTGCCACATATTAGTTCTGCCTATTTTAAAATTTCATGTAATTGGAATGATAAATTGTGTTTAGCTTTTTTAAGTCAGTATTTTGTCTGTGAGATTCATCCACGTGGTTACATGTTGCATGGCTTGTCCATTTTCATTGATGTATGTTTTGTTCTTCGAATATCCAAAATGTATTTACCCATTCTACTGTTAATGAACATTTGGGACATTTTTAGTTTGGGTCTATTATAAATAGTGTCAATATGATCGTTTTGATATGTATCTTGGGTACACATATGTATGCAACTTTGTTGGGTTTATACTTTGGAATGGAATTGCTTATTATAAGGTATTATATGCTCAATTTTAGTAAATGCCAAACAGTTTTTGTAATAAGTTGTGTCAATTTGCTTGCTTAGGCTATAAATGAGAACTTCATTTGTTCCTCATCCTTGCCAACACCTGGGATTTTGAATCTTGTTAACTTTAGCCATTATAGTTATTTTTATTTTAATTTGCATTTCCTTTATGAACTATATGGTTGAATACTTTTTCATATGCTTCTAACCTTCTTTGTGAAGTGCCTGTTTAAATCTTTTGCCCATCTTTAAGTGTGGTTTGTCTCTTTTTTAAAATAAATTTTTATTTAAAAAATTTTTATTTATTTATGTTTTATTGAAACACAATTGATTTACATGTCTGTGAGGTACAGAGATGCATATCAATACCTATGTGCAATACGTGATGCTCCAATCAGGATAATGAATATATTCAATATTATACAATGTTATTTTTGTGGCTCTTTAGTGATTCCTCCTTTACCCTAACCTCTCCCTACCCCTTTCCCACCTCTGGGAACCTCAGCTCTGTTCTCTCCTTTTGAAAGTTCAACCTATTATTGTGATTGTTGTATCTTTCTTTCTATCTTTATTTTTTAGCTCCCTTATGAGTGAGGATGTGGTATTTCTCTTTCTGTGCCTGGCTTATTTCATTTAACATAATTTTCTGTAAGTTCATTCATGTTGCTGTGAATGGCAGTATTTCATTCCTTTTTATGGCAGAGTAGTATTCCATTATATAAATGTACCACATTTTCCTTATCCAGTTGCCTGAGGAAGGACATTTAGGTTGATTCCAACTCTTGGCTATTGTAAATGGAGTTGCAATAAACACGGGAGTGCAGGTATCACTTTGACATGATAATTCCCATTCCTATAGGTGGAAATTCCAATTCCAGCAGTGGAATTGCTGGATCATATGGCAGTTCTATCTATAGTTGCTTGAGGAACATTTTCCATCATGGCTGAACCAATTTACAGTCTCACCAGCAGTGTAGGAGGGTTCGCCTTTCTCTACATCCTTGTCAGCATTTGTTATTCTCTGTCTTTTTGATAATAGCCAGTCTAACTGGGGTGA